GTGCTAAATCTAGAAATTGGGCTTAGAGTAATGAAAGAGGAAAGGGAAACAACAATATGACAATGTGAACCATGGCACTGACCGGCATGGTGTTTTGCTCATGTATATCCAAACCAATGAATCCACTTTGTTTATACCAACAGAGGTAACTAATTTGGTACAGGAAATTTGTTTTCATGTAAGGAAGAAGCTGAGACCAAGATAACAAAAAAATGAGATAACTATGAGGTTAGCTATTGCAGACTAACCTCTAGTCTGGATGGGCAAAGACTGCAAGGTTTGCATTTCAGAAGGAAGTTGGAATCAGAGTAGCCCTGCTAGCTTAAGCTGAAACCATGGGGAAAGTGGAACCTTAGGCACAGGAGCAATCTGAGGCAAGGTCAGAAATTTAGGGAAAATCCCTTTGTACTGTTCTTTCCTATCAATAGCTCTCAAGAACACCTGTGAAATACAGCCAGGCAGAATTAACCTTACTGTATAGAACAATCAATCTTACTGTATAGAACATAGGATGAAAGCATGAGCACCTGAGGACAAGAGGCCTAGACTCTGTGCACCTTGTCAATCCTCCTGTGAATTTACTTTATCTGCTTTGTCCCTTTTCACATAAAGTCAAGAATTCATGCAGGGATTCACTGAGCATGGCACATTGTGGATTTTATAAACTGGAATATGAACTCTGGGAAAACTCAGCAGCCCTCTAGCACCTAGTATGCATGTCCTTAGAAATTTGTAAAACAATTAGCTCAGCTGGCATGAAATGGAGTAAAAGTATCTCCACTGGTATTTTTTTTTAACCATTGCTATGGAGCTAGGTGGCAATCCCCTCATTGCTGAAGGATATCTGATTATCAATCACAATCTAGAGCTTACCCTGACTTTGGAGCACATGAAATAGCTTCATGGCTATCCCAGAAACAGTTGTGTCAGTCAATGTGTGTCTCTGGTCAACATTAGAACACTTTCCACGGCCACATCAGTCTGTAGGTCAGTCCTTCCATTCTACATGTTAAACAACAATGATATTTTATTCTGATTTAGTTAAGACAAATTTGTTAAGTGTCTCAGTCTGTTTTGGTTGCTATAAGACACATCATAAACTGTGTGGCTTGCCAAACAATTATTTCTCATACTTACGGAGACTGAGAATTCCTGGGTGAAGGTGCCAGCACAGTGCCTGGTGAAGGCAACTTTCTAGTTCATGGGTGGTAATTTCAAGCTATATCCTCACATGGTAGAGGAGATAAAAGGTCTCTCCTGACCTCTTTCATAACGGCATTAATTTCATTTACAACTGCTCTGTTCCCCTGACCTTGCTGCTTTGTAAATGCCCCACCCTTGTATGCCATCAACTTGGGGCACAGGATTTTAACAAGTGAATTTTGGAGGACACAGACATTAAAGCTGTAACACGGCATCAGCTTATCCTTGTCTTGAACAAAAAAGAAAGACTTCTGTCTCTTCTCTTTCAGATCCTTTTCTCAAAGTTCACCTGGAATAGCTGGTGTTAGGGTGCAGGGTGTGGGCTCTGATTTGAGTTCTGACTTACACTTTCAATCCTGCACCCTGCTAAGTTCCCTGTTAATGTTCCTGGGAAAACAGCAAATTATATCCCAAATGCTTGAGCCCAACACCCACTTGGAAGACCTGAAAAAGCTCTGGGATCCTGACTTTGGCCTGGTCCTGTCTTGACACTTTGAAGCATTTCAGAGTGAACAATTCAAAGTGGACCAGTGGATGAAAGACATTTCTCTCTCTCCCTTTCTTTCTCTCTCCCTTTCCATCCTCCATAATTCTGCCTTGCAAACAAGGAAAGAAAAAGGCTTTAGGAAGCTTACTTATACACAAATATACAAATATCTTATATTTGTAATGTCTTTTTTAAAAACAACATAGTGTTTCAGAATAGTTTTACAATCTCAGGACCAAGTTTGTGAGGTACAATAGCAGTAATTCCCATATAGCCCTCATCCCGTGTCCCCTATTAACATCTCATATTAGTATGTTTGTCACAGTTAACGAACCACATCCTGCTTCCCATTTTTCAAAAATCCAGACTTCCTTTATCCATTCCATCATTCGCAATCTCCAGAAATCAGCATTCTGTTTTCAGATTGAATTTTCTGTGTTTAGTTTTAGTTCTTCCAGGTAAGGGAGAACATTCAGTATTTGTCATATTGTTTCTGGATTATTTATCGCACATGATGTCTTCTAGTCTCATTCATTTTGCTGTAAACAATGGGACTTCACATACTTTTTAAAGATTTACTTTATTTTTTATTGCAAAGTCATATTTACAGAGAGAAGGAGAGAGAGAGAGAGAAGATCTTCCGTCCAATGATTCACTCCCCAAGTGACCAGAACAGCTAGAGCTGAGCCGATCCAAAGCCAGAAGCCCAGAGCTTCTTTTGGGTCTCCCACATTGCTGTATGGTCCCAAAACTTTGGGCTGTCCTTAATTGCTTTCCCAAGCCACAAGCAAAGAGCTGAATGAAAGCAGGGCTGCTAGGATTAAAACTGGTGCCCGTATGAGATCCTGGAGCATTCAAGTCAAGGACTTTAGTCACTAGGCCACTGCGCTGGAGGACCTGATGTTTTAAAAGAGCTGATTGGTATTCCACTGGGTATACATGCTACATTTTCCTTTTCCATTCACCTGCTCATACATACCTCTTGGTTGATTCCATAGTTTAGCTACTGTGAACAATGCTATATGAACATGATGGAGTAGACATCCTCTTTGATACAATGTGTTCATGTGTCATAGTAAGATTGCTGGATGATATGGCAGTACTATTTCTACTTTTAAGAAATCTCCTTACTACGGTAACATTAATCTACATTCCCACCAACAATGCATAAGAACTCCTTTTTCTACATCCTTACCAGAATTTGTTACTCTTTGTCTTCTTGATAATAGCCATTCTGATAGAACTGAGGTGATATCTCAATGTGGTTTTGATTTTCATTTCCCTGATGCCTAGTGATATTGAGCATTTTAAAATATTTTTCTTAAAGATATTTCATTCTTTCTCATGACAACATTGTGCAAGTGTTGGCAGAAACTCTTGCTAGAGACTCTGGTCTCAGTTGCATGCTGCCTGCCCCAACTCTGCCTTGTTCGTTTATGGCCAGGAAATAATTCTAGAATTCTAGACAATTTAGATTTTAGCATAGGATAGTCCAGAGCTGTTCCAATTCTTTATGGGAATTTAAAGGATATTCTGTCAAATGAGTTACAAGGGCCTGCTTCCCATATCTCTTAAGGTTACAAAAATGACTTGCCAATTTCCTTTAGAACTAGGTTGATTAAAGGAAGTTTGAAAGATGGGAATTCTATACACGCTCCAAAAGCAGCATGTACACACAGATATATTTCCAAGTAAGACAATCCTCACTTGAAATTGTGGAGATTAGCATGTTATCTTTCGACATTCCATTCTGAGATAGGTACCTAAATGCAAGTTTCTACAACTTCCTATGAGAATTCTGTCAAAGTCTAGTGAAATGTCTGCCATGTTTCTCAATTCTAGGACAGGAGATCAGAATAAGCTGAAATGCTGGTGTATGCTAGTTTATTTTTCCTTAATTATTCCTTTTTAAATGAATTTGAGAGGTGGAGAGAATCTGGGAGTTGTAAAACATTGCTCTTCTTGAGAACTGCAATGTGCTTATGAAACAAAAAGTAATGACAAGGGGTAAATGCTCCAGCCCCATCTCAAAACTCCAATTAGAATTTTTACATTTAACAGCGGGAACAGCAACAGCAAGAACCAAATCTTAAATTGTGACTAGGCAACAGGAGGAAGACTTTGAGAGGAAACCCTCTTCCTTATTCCTCTTAACCATATTTTGCCAGAGGTTTAACAAGTGTGAAAGGTTTTATGAGTGAAACAAAAAAAGGCAGAAAAAAGGTGTGATTTCAGGGGCTCTTCTCCAATATGAACCCACATCTCCCGATAACCATTAAAGGGAATACACAGCTCATCAAGATCAGAACTTCTAAGTAAAGCTTTTTTTTTTTTTTCTTGGAGAGTTTTCTCTTTTTGGGACTTTAATTAAGCTCCTGCAAGGCTTGCAAGCTTTTTAATTTTACCTTTCTTTCGTCTTTCTCTCTTTTTTCCTTCTTAACTCAGCTTGCTTGCCAGGAAACTTTTTCCAAGCTGTCACAGTTGTAGCATATACACTCTAACATATTACATTTAGAGATATACTCATAGTTGCTTCTTCAAGGTACTATAGAAGAAGATTCTTTGCTTTTGGAAAATATTTTCTTTCCTTCCTTCTGTGCTCCCTTCACCTATTCATTCATTTGTTCATTTCTTTCTTAAGTATGTGTCTATTACCATATGAACGAGAAAATAATAGTAAAGGAAGCTTCCTGGTGTGTACAATGGCTACTGGTTAATTTAAAAAAAAAAAAAACTACAACTTATCCTCCTGTAAAGCCACCAATGTAACTAAAAAAACCTTGCTATTATTCATTCTAATATTCACAGAGCTCATAAGCAAAGTCTGCATAGTAAACAACTCTTTACTATTGCAGGTGGATAAAGGGGGAGTGAATGTCTCATTTGATGATTGAACACTCACTTACTGAAATGTAATATTTAACTACTTAAATCCCTCTTCAAGACTTAAAAGCATTGCAATTCTGAAGGTACAAAGGCAGGAGCCAGGGGAGCAGAAGGTGAGGCGTTTAAAGCACAGTTCACGAGAAGCTGATTTCACTGGAGGAGATGGAGTTAAATATCGATCATCCTAAAGCAGTGCCCATCTTCTTTTCTTATTCCTATATTTTTTTTCCCCAAGAACTCAGTTAATATGGCAGAACCCAAAATAAAACAAGTCATCAAAAAACAGAAAAACGAAAATGACAGATATGGAGCATTGGGGACGCGATATGTTCTCTACGGTTATTATTAACATCATTCTTATTATTTACTTAGTGCTTCCAGGATGCCAGTTTACTCCAATTGCTCCTTTCTGTGAGGTACTTACTGATTGCTTCCACAAACCGCTCAAAGAAACTGTAGGGGAAGAGCGGCTCCGGCAGCTCCCGGAAAAACATCTTCAGTGCTCCGGTGACAACGTGGATGTCCTCCCACTGGCTGTCGTCCAAATTCAGCTTCTCTTCTGGGAAAACACGAGGAGAAATGGAACAACTGGTTTTAATGAAACAATTACAAGACACTAATTATTATGTTAATGTTTGCCTACTATCATCAGCAACCGTTAACAGCCTTCTGCACCTAGAGGTTTGGGCTGTGCATGGTTTTTTTTTTTTTTTCCTTTTTCTGTAGGAAGGGAACATTTTCAATGGAATACCATCTGTAGGAATGCAGCTAACAAAAAAAACAAGAGACACAAAGAGACAGTGCCATTGACACAGTATGTCAGATACATTTATTCCCATAATGCATCAGTATGAAAATTAGCAGCCCAGCGCAACATGATTCAAAGCTATTTGGTTTTGAGGCCGAGGGGCTAAGAGTTGCCAATGATGGCCTACTCAAGGGACCGGCCTAAAGGCCTTATTGAGCCAACAGGAGACATATGCTAAACATGGCAATAGAAAATGAGTTATTGCTTTACATGTGTTAGCCTTGCTATGTACAAGGAAATAATGGGTAACACTGTTTTTTTGGCTTTTTTTTTTTTGCCTGAATATAAAGTCAGCAACGAATAGAATACTGAGTGGGAAAGGATATTAATTCCTTCTTCCTGCTTCAAAAAATATCTTTCTTTAGTTTTCATCTCAGTGAGGACAATGTACACAGCAACAATATTAGACAGACCCCTGTTGGCCTGTGTAGGCTATGCAAAGCTGTCAAAAATGATAACACCAAAGACAAAACCACAAATGTTTACGAACTCTTTTTAGAATCAACAGAGATGTTTGCTTGGGAAGCCTGTGAGAGTTGAGACATTGAAATACTAAAGAAAGTAAATACCAAGATGAAGGTTTAGTACAAAGTATGTTGGGCAATTGTTTTTCTTCCTTTTCACACTAATTAAGAAAGTCTGGAAGAATTCTGAACCAAGAAATGGAAGTATTAAGGTCTGAAAGGGATGTCTTTACATACAATTAAAAAAAAGCAAAGTACAAAGCAATTGCTTTGGATCCACAGGATTTATCTCTCTAAACATGCAATATGGAAAAAGATTTTGGATTTTGGGCTCAATAAAAACTAATTTGGGGGGACAGCCTTGGGGTTAACTGGCAAGAATTCTGGCAAGAACTTTTCAGCTATCTGGTCACCTAGACTTTGTTCCTTTACTGATATCTTGGATTCACATTAATATTTCTCCTTGGTGTCAGTTTTATGAATGCCAAGGAGCATTCTGCACCAAAAATGTAAGAAAAGCTGAGAATTTTCACTGTAGGGATTCTCTGCATGAGCTGTTTTGCTAATAGTGTTTATGTCTTTTTAAAAATACTAGTCCAAATCTTGATCAGATCCTCTTTTCTTTTAAATAGTCTATTATTTCCAGAGCTAGTCAGTGACGCTTCTGCTCAATAGTGTATTTGAAAAGACAAGGAACGAAGGTGGAGCTGTTTATTTCAATTGGGCTATTTTCTTCTTCTCTTTCAGTCTTCATTCCTACCTCAATCATAACACAATAATATGATCCACAACAAAATCAGCAGAGGAGACCTTCTTTCTGCCCTGCAATCATTTTTGATTGATTGTATTTCAACAATTAGTCTTTTATTTGGCTACACACTATTGAAATAGGCCGACAGCATCTTAGCAGGCCAGCTTTAAACAGTCAACTGTTAACAATAGCATCAAAAAGGGAGACCTGATGGGGTTTACTGTCACTTTAAAGAACGGGGTTTTCACATTGTTGAAATCTGTCAGATATTTTGAAATGTCCCTCTCACTATGGTGCCACACCCCCTGCGTGCCCTTATAATAAAATTGGTTTTACTCCTGATTAAATCATTTTCTCCCTACCCACTACCATACTTCTCATAATGGACCTGTGCGCTCTACAGCTGGTGTTCTTCCCATGGTACCAATTCTTACTTTATCTTTTAAGCACTTTGCTGCTAAGATCTCATGCAGAGTGCTTATGTTTTGTTAAGAGCTTCATTCTTAGAGAAATAGCTTAACACATGTTCTAAAAATGTTGTACAACTTATTGCTTAAAACACATTTGGAAAATGTATAAGTACTGTAGCTGTGGTACTGAACTTTAAGTGGAAACCTAAACACACACACACACACACACACACACACACACACACACCCCTATCTCTACCAACCATTTATCAGAAGTCCAAACACAAAATACCAATTTGGTCCAGACATTGGAGAGTCAGCATGAAAATGTTTAATAAGCAAAAAGGAGGATGATTTTATTGAAAGGAATAAGGCAATACTAACACATAACTGCTTAACCAAAGGAAAGTATGATTAATAATAGTCATCTTTAAATAAATATCAGTTAAGTGAATATAAAAATGGAATATTTTAGTATTTACAAGAAAAGCTTAACAATAAGTTTAACAACCTTGATTGTATCCACTTTAAACGTCATACACTATAATATCAATATCCACTTGTATAATTTGAACCAGAATTCCTACTATAATTATCTGTACTTATAGAAATAAAAAAATAACAATTTGTACATTTCCAACAAATCAGTTAAAGAAGCAATATGGTAGGTAGGTAGAAAGAGTCTTTTGGGAAATGACAGATCTTTTTACATTATAATTTCATAAAAAAAAAGGGGGAGTACAGATTTTTTTTTGTAAACCAGAGGGTGCGAAGGCAGAGTTTTCAAGGCCATCACGGATGTTCAAAACATATAGATAAGTTCATGCAACATAATACTCTTTTTCATGAAGCCAGCCAGTCCCCATGATGAAAAAGGGATAATCCTATGCAGTAAAACAGGTATTGTTACAAAGTCATCTGCATTATGTTTTAGAAGACTTATTTATTACTTAATTCAAATATAAAGTGGAGAGAGAGTGGTCTTTCATTTACTGGTTTATTCCCCAGGAAGCTCCTTTGGATGGGGTTGAGAGCCAGGCACAAGCCAAGAGCCAGGAGTTTCATCTGGATCTCCCACATGTGTGGTAGAGTCCCAGGTACTTGGAGGCACATTGGCAGGAGCATAATGGGAAGTATAGCAATCAGGAGTGGAATCGAACCAGTGCCCTTATGGAATGTTAATATCACTGGCATTGGCTTAATCTTGTTCACCACTTCACTGGCCATTATTTGCATTATTTGATATGGGCTTTTTGATTAAATTGTTAGCTGTGATGCTGTTTTATACTTATCATTTTTGCAAATATGGCAGGGTTTCTGAACAGTGATAAAAAATCGGCATTTAGGCCCGGACCATTTGCTGTGAGGGCTGCCTGCATGTTTTAGGATGTTTTTGTACCATCTATGGCTTTAGTTCACTAGATGTTAGAAGCATTTTCCAGTGGTGATGATTAAAAATGGCTTTGGATGTTGTCAAACATCTCTTGGTGATGTTAAATCATTCCCTGTTGAGAATCACTAAATAGGAGTCTATATCATTAGAATTACCCCCAAAATATTGATTTATTAATTTTACCTTATTTGGTAACCAATTAGAGAGTCAGATATACATATACTTGGATATTACTAATAAGAATCCAAGAACTGATAAATCTTACACAAAGTTCAGATGAACATCTTCAGAGTACTCTGCAACAAAAACAATTATTTTGTGCTTGCACTATACTAAGGACTCTGCTATACACTCTATATGCATTACCTGATCTAGATTTTTCACTGTTAAATAATGAGGTAGATGCTACTTTTTAATCATAAAATCCCTTTCCCAGATTGGTAAAATGAGACAAGAGTGGATTAACTAAGTACATTTCTTACAGATGACAAACAATACATCCCAGTTATGGAGCAAGTAAGCCCTCACTGTGTTCAAAACCAGTATGCTTAGACTTAATTTTGGTTATCAGAACAAAAAAACCAGATAGTCAATGAACCAATAATTGCAAGTACTAGAAGATGAGCTGTTGCTTCCAAGAAAATGATTTTTATGCTTTATTCCTAATTGTCTTACTTGAAGCTATGCTTGTTACCTGTAAAGTAACTTTGATATTTGATAATTACTTATTCATAGAAAGCATGGATTCTTAAGTAAACACGTGCAAAACAAATTGGTGGTTAAAAACAAATTACATTAGAAAAAGAAAGTGAATGGAGCAAATTGTTATGTGGTGATGGGTTAAAAAGGAAATATGACAGAGTGTAAAAGAGATTAAACAAAACACCTTTTCTGGGCTTGGATTTATCACTAATGCACAGTTTATCTATTTATTTATTAAGTGGAGGCACTTGCTAAAAAGATTTTGGTATCAAACAGGAAAACATAACTGAGAAGCCATTGGAACACATAAGGTAATAATGTTTTGGACATCTCTACGGGAAGGAAGGTACATAAGGGTAAAAAAAAAAACCCTCAAATACATAGAGGATGGAAGTAATGAAAGAAATCAGCAAATAGAAGACTCTCTTTGTACAGGATTTATCTCAGCATGATACAGCTCATCATGCAGGACAATCATGATAGTTTTACAATCTGGTGTTCAGTGCTGGGCAAATGTCTGGTTTAATCAAGGCATCTAACAATGATGACACTCATCGTTTATCTTGGCTCCCTAATTAGGTGATCTTATATCTATTCTGGCCTGCACTTTTGGCTTAAAGGATACAAATAAATGTCACTTTCTAGCATAACAGGTAAAGATGCCACCTGCGGTGTCAGAATCCAATGTGGGGATTGGTTTGTGTTCCAACTGCTCTGCGTCCAATCCAGCTCACTTGCTCAGAGAACTGGGAAAAGCTGCAGAAGATGGTCCAAGTGCCTGGGTTCCTGTTACTCTTGTGGAAGACCAGGAAGCAGCTCCTGGCACCCATTTTTGGCTTGAATCAGCCTCAGTTGTTGTGGTCATCTGGGGAGTGAAAACAGTAGATGGAAGATCTCTGTCTCTCTCTCCCTTTCTCTCTGTTATTCTGACTTTCAAATAAATTAATCAATACATCTTTAAAGTTTTTTATAATTAAATGTAATTTTTGATGATGCTTACACAGTTGATTAGGGCAGGAAGGGTCCAGGAT